AGTTAAAGACACTGCTCCAGCTAAAATGAGTCAAGCTTGTTTTCCATAAATATTAGTTATCATAATCAAACTATTTGCTAGACTCCACTTAACAGTTTAAACTTTAAGTTAGTTCTTGACATGGAACCATGGCCACTGTGACCAAGTGGTAGAGAACTTGATTGTCACCATCCCCATTCTCCAGCATCCTACGCCTACACTTCAACCATAACAGGCTTTTTGTTTGTCAGGGCCAGTTAGAGATTATAATATAACAATTCATGTCCTTTCACTTAAAAACTTCAGCGTTTGAGATGAATTAGTCCTTGACAATAACAAAACCATATGGAAATCAGTCAAAAAGATAACTCAATTATGAATAAAATCAGAAACAGACAAATAAAGATTTTCTCAGATGAGTTTCAAAAAAATAAAAAAAATCCAGGCATTGAACATCTTCAAACAAGAATACAATTATGGATATTGATTTCCAAATCAAGAATCCATGGTATCTGCTTTCAGGTAACAAATTGAACATTACTGGTTTTTGTATTACCCAACAAACTTTTAATACTAGTAGGCAAAGTGAGAATCCCAGCCTAAACATTAATATGTGGCTGAGAAGGACCAAATACCTTTTCAAACTGTTTTCGAGCAGTAGATTCCTTCTCAAGTTTCTCTTTATAATCATCTTCAATTTGCTTCAGATGAGACTGCTCAAACACAGCAATGTTTTGAAGTGTAAGCCTTCTCTCTTATCTAAAATTCCATCTTCCAAACGTCAAAAAACCACATATATCAAACAAACTTCACCTCCATTGCTTTGATCACACCCTCAAGCTCTGTTGCCTTTCTGGACCATTCCTCAGAACTTTCTTTATATAGTTCATTAAGCTTATTAACCTGATTACACAAAAAATATGTCTAAATATTAAAAATAAAAAAAAATAACATTCTTCCCCAGACTATTTTAAAAAAATATAATAAATAGAACTTGTCATAACACTCACAGTCGAGAGCTCATTGTACAATTTCTGTTCATTAGCTGCAGCAGCATCTTTAGCTGAAACTAACTCCTAGGAAGTGATAAAAACAGGTTAACAGGGATTGAATGAGGCAAGAAAAAGAATCAAATATCAAGATAATAAATGGAATGTTTCCAACCTCATGAGTAGATTTAAGTTTCATGTCTAACTCCCTCACTCTATCCTTGTTCCATTGTAGTGATTTAGAGCATTCACTCAATTGCCTCTCTACCTGAAAGTGTTAATCTTAAAATCATATTGTACTGAACCAAAAAAGTGCAACTTTTAAATTAAGAATATCTAGTAATCATATAAATCTCACTGACATCCGCAAGCTTAGAAACCATCTCAGCCTCCAACTCAGCATATATTTTCTGCGTATCTCAAAGGAACTATTAACCTTAGTAGTCAACTCATCATTCAGCCAAGCATTTTGTCTCTCAACAATCTCTTTCTCCTGCTCACATACAATTTAAGGAAAGAAAAATGCAACATTACTTCACATGCAACTTGAAATATCCTGTGCATAAAAAATGTTAAATGTAGAAGTACTATCTTATCCAGGACAAAAGCCAAAGCAAAAGAGGTGTAGTTTTGAAGGAACTTGAAATATCCTTCTATGACGAAGTATTGGGCTTGACGGTAAAAGCATATTAGTTTCACCCATCGAGTCATGAGTTCGAAACAGCACTCTGTTGACCGAAAAAGGAGAAATGAAAAAAACAGACATTTCTTTAATTACGATCAGACAGATGATTACAATTAGTGAAGCCATGCCCACCTAATCCAAGGCCCTAAACATTGTGACAGATACGTTTCACTTGTCAGAAACCAAACAGCTTTTATACCTAATTGCACCACCTCTACAACTAGTAATTTCTATAATTAGCAGAAAGAATTTACCACAACTCGTAAGATCCACAATCAGACAACTTATACAGAAAGTGAGTGGACGAAAGGAACTCAAGAACCACCTGTGAAAGACGAGTGCATTGAGCACGGCATCGGGCCAACTCTGCCTCCAGTTCACTCAAATGAGCCTCCTTCTGAGCAGCATTTTCAGACAAGTTGACCTTCACGACCAGCAACGACAAGAATGAGAGCATTTTTAAGCGTTTAACTTCAAACCACGCAGAGAGAACATCAAAATGAAAGAAGCAGAGTAGAGAAAATAACTTACAATCTTATCGAGATAGGTCGTGATGGCGGCATTCTTCTCGCTAAGCTGCAAATCCTTTTGCTCATTCAACTCAATTAACTGCCTTTTCGATTTATGCAGCTCACTCACCTCTGTCCTCAACCTCTCTATCTCCCGGTCTTTCTCAATCTACAAACCCAGAATCAATGACAAAAAGCAATAAAAGAAAGAAAGTCAAAAAGTGGCAAACAAGCACAACGCTCCATACAGATTGCAAATTAATTTTCTCCTTCTGAGTTTGAACTTCGGCGAGTTCAGCGAGACGTTGATCCAGGGTTGCTTGGAGTTCATCAACATGGGACTCGAGCTTTGAGAATTCAGCAGTAAGAGAGAGGTACTTCTGCTCTATGAGAGAACAGTTCTGCTCGGCGTTAATGTCAGAAGCATCAGCCTTGGCCTTCACAGTCTCGAGCTCGTTGAGAAGGCTGCGGATGAATACGTCGGCCTTCTCGGCCACCGCGGCAGCGTCATTGGAGCAATGGAAGAACTCCTCGTCGGAGAGAAATAGGGGCATTTTTAAAACCGGCGACGCCCTAATTCGCCGCGATCAGTCGGAAAGTTCGAACGGAAGTAGAAGAGAAAAGGACGATTGACGGAAGAAGGAACAGAAGAGGGAAGAAGCAAATTGAAGAGGAAGGGACGATGTTGAATGAATCCCTATGGAGCAAGAACTCGCCACCAAGAATAAAGCTGGAGGCAATTTTGTTCCGTTTTTTTTTTTCTTTTTTGGGTCTGTGTAGAAGGCGATCAGCATTTGGGCCAGGTTTTTTTTGTTTGAAGTCCAGAATGCATAATATAGGCCTTGGGCTGTACATGAGTTGGACCTTTCGGGTTCTCTGTTAAGCCTCGCTTCCTCGAAATAACTACATAACCAAGATTGTACCAAAAAAAAAAAAACTACATGTCCAAGAATTTTAAATGTAAAATCTACTACTATGATAGTCCTTTATGTTTTTGTCATCCAGAAAATTATATTATTCTAAGTTAATATGAAAATTATACAAATAAATATTTTTTGATATCCAAAAATTAGGTAAAATAAGAAAAAATATTTTGTGACGTTGAATAGGCATAAATTCCATACGCTTGTATAGAAGTTATATGGAGTAAAAATTAATATCCATGCCATTTTCATTGTAATTACATCATAATTTATAAATGTATAGAATGTGAATTAAACTGAATCTAATACAAGCCATACTAGGTATGCTGTGAATACCCTCATAATTTATAAAACTTCACAATTTAGTCTTCTATAATTTGAAAAATTTTAATGTTCTCTTTATTATTGCATATGTCCCAATATTTTATTGTATGATAATTATTTTTATTTTAGGGTTTATATATTCATGTCTTTCATTGACATGAACAGCACATGCTTAAATTTAAATCATCAAGATGATATATAATTGATTACATCCAATTAATTTACTTAAATATTGACTTAATATTAACAAGAAGAGTCAAAATGTCAAAAATATATATATAAAATTCAAGTTCTAAATTATAACAATAATTAAAATTACAATTATGAAAATTGAAAACATGATTTTCTCTGCATACTATACACAACTTCTCAAATTAAGATCCCCTATATATATATGATATATATATATATATATGGGCATTCCCTAAATATTGAAAGATGACCTATCCTTCTGCCATCATTAACGACCTTTTATCACTCTCTTTAAAAGAAAAAAGGGGGGAAAATCTCTCTCTCTCTCTCTCAAAAGACGCCAGCCTCAATAATTAATAAAAGGCTTCCTTGCTGCAAACAATAATTCCGTCTCTGGCATATTAAATGTTGGTGGATATGGCAAAAGTATTTGATATTTGAATTTTGAAAACTGATAGATTTTTTTCCCAAAAAAAAAAATTACACTTGCTCGAAGATCATGTTTGAGCTTCTTCATATGCTTATTTATAATTTAATTCATTTACTATATATATTTACTTTAAAAAGAGTTTGAGAGATGAGAAGATAGGTTTAACAGAAGCAACAGTAGCATAATTTTAGTACCTTCTTGGCAACTTGTTCTGAAAATATTTTTTTATTTTTCAAAACAAAAAAATTGTTTAATAATATATTTTTAAAAATTTTTTTGAAGAACAAAGAAATAAAACGTTGTTTTAAAAAATAAAAAAATGAAAACATCTTTTAAGTGTTTTGAAATTATTGTTAAAAAATAAGAAAAAATAAAAAACACTCATTTTTTTTTTTTTAAAATATGTTCTACAAAACATTAATTTTTTGGAGTAACAAAACAAAAATAATTTCAAGCAAGCCTTTAACATTTTTGTCTCGCCGTCCCTAAAATCGAATTTAATGCTTCTGCTTGAGGTTTGAAAAATTTACATTCTATTTAGGTTAAATTCCCTTATTTGTAACGTTTTAATGGGATCCCCTAGAAGTTAAAAATTTCTCGCATCAATAATAGAGACTAATCTCGTTCAAAATATTGGATTGAAAGAGTAGATTTTTTTCAAACAGATTTACGCTGTACATAAAGGTGGAGGATTGAATCACTTACCACTTGTTATAAGGTCAAACTTTACATATTCAAACAATTAATAATTATATTTTTACTATAAATAAAACCATTTCACTATTTGACATGATGTTATTAAAAATGGCGAGGAATCTAGCTTACGAGCGAGTGAGAATGAGAATTTGTCCCAAGAAGAAAATGAAAGCATCGAGAAAAAAGGGAGAAAGATCGATAGATTGTTGCACGCAAACAAAAGGGAATGATGGGCACATGGGAAGAAGATACTCAACTTATCTCAATAAACAATTAGAGAGAAAAAAGTCTTGTATTAGTAAGCAAATGGTACAGAGAAGCACATGGCCAATGAATTGAACATCACTCAAAAGATACACACCAACTCCAAAACCACGTGTATTGTGGACTAAGCCAAAACCAAAAAGTTAGACAGCACAAAACCCAAACAAAACAAAACAGAACAAAAAAACATAGAAGAAGGAAGAGGTGGACCCCTACACACCCTCTCTCTACATGTACCTCCCTCTCTCACACACAGGCTGTTAAAGCGCACTAAATAATGCGAAGTCTGAAGGGTCACATGCCCATAAAGCAAGCTAACTGACACCCCACACATGCCCTCGCCTTCACAGTTGAACAAGCACATGCCCTCTGTCCCCTGACTCTCCCACCTCTTCATAACACATTTCAAACCCTTTTCCCCTCTTAAATGCATGCTTTAAATCAAACCCAAACCGTCATTACAATGTCTCCCAAATTAATCTAATACTATACACAAGCTATAATTAGCACTTCAGCAGGTTGCTTTTTGTATATATGCTCTTCAGCATATATCAGCTCTTGTTGTCAACTTTTGAAATTCTCACGTATCATATAGCACATGTAGATATAACGTTCAAGACTTAATCTGAACAATCCTAAATGAGTTATAGTTATGCAGGTCATATCTTGATCATTATATTGATATAGGCTGTATGATATTTAAGAATTTCTTGTTGAGATTTGGTTCTAGGGAGAGTGGTCTGTGGTGGGGGGTGGGGGCGAGCTGCCATTAAGGTGCATTGCAAGTGTCTGTGGCAAGTGATCAAATGGTCATTGGTTAGACCGACTGCTTGCATGAATGAGTGAACCACGGTCGGACCAACAAACCGAAAACCTCTTCTGACCATGTCTTTGGTTATGGTCTCTGACTTAGATGTCTTCACTGGGATCTTGTGGCCAAACCTGTATTGAGTGGAGATAGGTTTGTGATTCACAAAGCCCCATATGTATTTGTCAAATGTTCCAAAATCCTCCTTCAGCTGCAGTGACCCAATTTGCAAAGTAGGAAGAATCAGCCAAAAAAAAAAAAAGGACCAGTATATCCAACACCTTTTATCCAAATGTCTTTCACTTTAAAGCACGGATAAAACACAAATCTATTTTATTTTGAGTTGAACTTTCAATTTCTTTTATAACTGAAAAATGACTTTGTTAATATTCCCCAAAACACTGATCCTAAAATGATTCCTCTTTCTTCTTTTTCCACAGGGGGGAAACTTTAATCCTTTAGTTAAGAGTTGACTTTTAACATGTTTAAAACATCATTATCATTAAAACTTCTAATCTATTGAAATTTGCTGATTTGAAAGACTGAAATTTATTGGTCAAAGAGGCAGTTAAAAGTGAAAAACATGATGCAGTTGAAACTGAAGACATTATCGTTCTTTCCCATCTTTGGTTGTCTTTGATTACTCTTCTCTTGCCCACAAGAATATTCACTCAAACCAAGCAAATTAAGCTTTTTGGGAGGCCATAACGTAAACAAGAACAAAGATCAAACATAAAAAATGCTAAAATGGGCACAATTTACTAGGCATGATAGTGCTTGGCTTACCTGTAAAATTCGGTTAGCATTGTCAACAACACCTCGAACTCTGCTAATATCAATCCCATATTCCAAACTAATAGCCATCATTTGCTTTTCTGTCAAGTTGGCCACTATTTCTGCATTGAACTCTGAAAATGCAGTCCTGTTCATATTTTGAATAGTTAGTTACCTTCCTTTAAGGGTAAAGAATATGATAGCTGCACACGAATATGCAGATATTTTACGAGGCTTAACTTAAAAGAGGTTGAACTATTTTACAAATAATTTCATTTTTGTCGGAAGATTATCATTTATACGTCCATCCTGTTACAAAATTGAAGTTTTATGCAAATGTCCTTGATTTTTTTAGTAGAATCCAACCTGAAATCTTGGCGTTTCTTCAAGATTGAGGTCCAATCAGATCCAACCTGAGCACTGCTTAGGACCAGGAGTTCGAACAGCATCCTGCGTGGACAATAAGGTTTTTGTCAAATTGTAGTAATTATATGCCTCTGCATACTTTTATTTGGTTTGTTACGTGTTTGTGTCTTTTTCTCTAGGAGAGAGAGAGGGGGTGGGATTTACTTGTCATCATGAACTGGAACTCCCCATTCCTCATCATGATAAGCAATATAGATGGGATCTAATGATCAAGCCAGACACAGAAGTTAGTGCATTCTGTAACTAGCAATAATGAATATAATTATAAAATTATGAGTTTGAATGGAAAATGTGAACTCTGCTCTTTGTATTACCTGAATTGCTGGTGATAAAGCTGCATCTTTTCTGCTCCTCACTTGTCTTTGTTGAGAGATTGCTTGAAGAATCAAGAGGAATAACTCTTTCAAACTTGGCGTATTTTGATCTTCCATAATGGGCAATCCTCAATTTCCTCTGCGCTTGTTGCAGAGCCACCTGTTCCCTCCTCACAGCAGCAATGCTTCCAGGTGCCTCGATGATCAAAGAAGAAGAATAGCTCAAAGATGCCTCAACAGAACCACAAGACCCTTCCTTAAAACTCTTTGACTTCTTCCTCTCCAAAGTAGGATTAGCTTTCATGGAGTTTCTTGGGGTTGGCACTATAACCCTTTCAGAACTTGAGTTCAGGTTCAGCCCATTACTGTCATTCCCTCTCTTGATTGCTGGAGGCCTTGGGGACTTTGGAGAAATTAGTGACTTTGGAGAAACTGGAGGTGTCAATGAAGTCTTGGCTGGGAACAATGGATGTGGTGTAGGTGGAGAAAGTGACTTCGGTGGTGGCACTTTCTTGATGGAATTCCTCCTCTCAAGGTTAGGAACTCGGTTACAAGTCGGTTGAAGCACCGGCCGGCCATTGATTCTGGCCATCACCAGTGGGGTTGCCGCCGAGGAGTCCTCAATACCTATACTCACTTTGGCCTTTGAACTACACATTTTTCAATGCCCTTGCTTGCCTAGTGCCTGACTGATAAGGAAAACAAAGGAAAGGGCTAGTGAATTAGGACTCAGGAGGAGTAATGAAGATCACAAAATGATGGAAGAGAAACCAAGGAAGGAAATACTGAAGAAGGAAATGACGATGATGATGAGAGAATGAAGGAGAAAGGAAGGAAGGGAAGTGAGGTTTTATAAAGAGAAAGTGAGATGTTGTTACATGGGGAGGAGGGGATCTGCCATACAACCTCTTGTGGAGGGCATTACTTTATGCAGACTAAACCACGAGGGCTTGAATGTGACACACACGCTTTCAACTTCTTAGCCACTTGGCAATGCTTAATAATACTTGTTAACCCTCCTTTGCACTGAGTTTTTTGGCCTTATAAGTTATATTTTTATTATAAGATTAGAATCAAGGAAGAAGCTTGTAAGAGGATTCGTTGGGTGAGAGAGATATTGAGCTGTGCTGGAATTACCAACCACGTGTTTTCACTACACAAAAATTTCCCCTTTTTCTGCTGTTCTGTATAATTTATGTCTTATAATAGGAGGGATCCATATTCTCTGAGAATCCCACATAATACTGTCATTTGATTAAATTCAAATCAAAGATTAAAAAGATGTCTGAGAATCCCACATAATACTGTCATTTGATTAAATTCAAATCAAAGATTAAAAAGATGTCACATCATATCAGGAATGAAATCCGTGGTGAAGAAGACTGGTGATTTTAATTTAGGGGGATACTTTTAACCATGGATTTGCTGTGAACGGATAAACATGTTGGAGCAGAATTTTACTAAAATGGTTCCTTTTTACCTATAGTTTATAGGCTTGATGAGCCTATGAATGTATTTCCTCTCTGCTCAAGAATTTTGAGGTTGGAGTAGTGGGTAAGGAAGGTGCAAATGCAAGAAAAAGACCAACCATTAGTCTATTCTTTTTAGCTGTCTGGAATCTAACCCTTTCTCTTTCTCCCCATGTATAGTTTTGTGTGTGAGTATGAGAGAGTGAACGGTTCAGGGTAGAAGAAGCACATGAGACCCTTTATGAACACCATTACAAAGATCGACACTCAGCACAGGGGTAGGTTGTCTTGGGATTAAATGGAACAGCCAGGGTTGAAACAATTAATACAATACCAACAGGATTTGATAAGGGTCTGCTTAAAAATATTGACCAGGTTGGAATTTGTGTGAATACATAATGCATTTTTGGGAGACGCTACGATACTCTTGCTCTTGTTTGGGGCTTGACTTGACTCGATTTAAATTAGTCTGAATCCAATATAACTTCGTATACTAAGTGGTTTGCTAACCACTGGCCACAAGAAAAAGTATATAAAGATCGTCAATAACTTTTTGTGGGGTTCTTTATGACCCTTAAGCTGAGATCTTTTATTCCTTCTTCTCTATTTTTTTTTTTAATTTTCTTCTTATTTTCATGTCCCACTTCTGGTTTATGTACTATACAGGTATCCTGATCTTCATGTGTTTCAGCAGCCAGTGGTCCTGATATTGACTGAGACAACTCACACACTAATTGAAGGTGTCATTGCTCTTCATCCTTCCGGGTTGGCTAAATAACTCCTCCACTTGGATTCAAAACAAACCATGTCATGAGAGACATTTTTCAAGCAGACTTGGATCGTAAAGAAAGGTATGAACATGTTAAAAGTAAAATTTACTCAAAACCTATGCTTAATATTTTCACGTATCTTTTCATTACCGGCTTAATTTTGTCCATCTTGGGTATATTTATTTTATCAGGAATAAAAACATCTCGCAAGTTGTACTTTATCTGTATCCAGACGGAAAAAGAAAAGTTTCTTTTTACATATCTCATCTTCTTTAGCTAAATAAATGGACCAAAAGAGTATAGAAGGGCAATAATGATACACAACTATGGTATCAATAAATTCGCAAACTGCACAGTGTACACCCTTCTTGTTCTTTTTCTGTTTTTTTATTCTTTTTGTCTTTTTCTTTTTTGAGTATTTTTGTCTTTTGTCTAAAAAACCAACATACAGAAAATATCACATAATTGAAAGCGAAATGTGTGGTGTAATCAATACAATTTGATTTTGTTGTTGTCATAATAATAATAATAATAATAATAATAATAATAATAATAATAATAATAATAAGGATTAAAGATAAAAAAATATTTAAAGTGTATATAAAAGGTCATAAATGACTCTAAAATTTTAATCATGAGTCAATTATATTCCTCAACTTTAAAAATTGTTTGCCCATATTTTTTCCGTCTTTTTTTGTTGGTGGGCTCACATTTAAATTTTTTAAATATATTTTATTGTAAAATATGATATAATGAATCACACTAATATTTTTTATAACATGAAAAAGTCTTCTCTTCTTCCGATGCAAATTTAACAATGTGCTTGCAAATTCGAGCATTTGTCCCCATTCACTGTCCTTGTTTGATCAATAGCACCACTGGCAAGACATTCGCCAATGACGTCAAACTTTTTTCTAGAAAAGTTGCCTCCAATCTCTATCGCCGACGTCGAACTTCTTTGATTCTGCTATAACAATGCTATTTCTTTCACACTATCACCATCTATTTCTCTCACTTAACTGCTCTCTCTCTCTCAACGATCTTCATATTACTCCCGTTCGACCTTATCTCTAACCTCAAAACTTAGGCTCTCAATGACACGAAACTACCTAAAATCTTGAATTTGCAGGCGAGCAATGGATGCATATATATCAGCAGTGAAGAAGCTGAGCTGTGAAGTGCTGAAAGCAATGGCAAAAGGGTTTGGGATAGAACAGAGGAATGCATTGAGCAAGCTTCTGAGGGACGAGAGGATGAGAGAGACGAGAGTCATCATCACCACCATCGGCCCATTTTACACCATAGCCGAGGTTGCAAAGCAATCCACCGCTTCTAATACCAACCTCCTCATCACGTTGTCGACAAGGTTGAAGATCTGAGTGTAATAACTTGGAAATTTTGGTTAAAAAAAATTAGTTAGTTATTCTAAATGTATTTTTATTAAGTTTGGAAATTGATATGCTAAAACTAACATTGAGCAAACGAATTATGAGTCAGCCCGCGGGTTGGGTTGGGTTGGGCCAGCCCGTCAAATAAAATGGGCTGAAAAATCCAACCCAACTCATTTTCTAGCGAGCTAGACAACCCGCGGGCTAACCCACAAAAAATTAACAAAAAATTTTTAATAATTTAAAATTTATAAAATATAAATTTATTTATTTATTTTATATTTTAAAGTAAATTAGAAATTAAAAAACTTGTAAATAAATAAAATAAACATAGAATTCAACCAAACAAATTTATTTTGTTAGATTTTTACTATCAATCATCTTATCGCCAAGGTGTGTTATCTTTGTCACTAAGAAAGAAAATTTGAATATAAACCCATACTAGTTTTCTCAGTGAATTCATATTTATAATTTTAATCAATAGATTTTATGATATTAATAAATAATATATATTCAATATATTTTTATAAAAACTAATAAATTATCTTCACAAACTATAACAAAAATTTTATTTGCAAATTATAAAAAGGATTTACACTATATTTTAAATGTAAAGAACATATTTGAGAGTCATAAATTATATATTTAAAAAATATTATCATTATTGTAGATTTATAAAAAGATATAATGTAATTTAAAAATAAAAAATTATTTTTTAAAAAAATACGCTAGCCTGCGGGCCAACCCATTTAGCCAGCGAGCTAACCCATTTTAGCCTGCTAATTTTACTGATTGGGCTAAACCAACCTGTTTTAAAAAATGAACTAATTTCGTCAACTCAACCCGTCAAATTGTGCGAGTTAAACAGGCTAGCCCGTGGGCTCAACCTGTTTGCCCGGTTCTAACTAAGAGGGAGAATAGGTCTAGTAGAAAGCAAACCCACACCTAACTAAAAGGTCTGAGTTTGATCCCCAAAAAGCTTAAGGTTAGGGTTTTATTTTTGAATGAAGCTTATTTTAGCTTTTGAAATTACCAAAACATCCCCCATTTCACCATATATTTTTATTTTATTTTCTCTTCTTTTCTTCTCTTTACTTCAGATCTATGTGTGCTGGGTAGATGGCAAGAGAGCTTGAGGGCTATTACTAGAAACTTTAAACCCTTGTCTAGCCCTCCATCTTCTGCCGTCATCCAACTTGTCACCAATGAGTTCAAGAATGTTGAAATCTTCACTAGGAAGTGCATTGATTTGCTGGTTTTGCTCTCCCCTGTACAGCATCATTCTTCCCTTTTCTGTTATCTGTGAGATCATGCAAACACTCCAGCCTTCCTCATCATTTTTCATTTATCGTTAATGACCGTGATCACGTCTAAGTTCTTTCTTTTTCTTCTTGCGTTGGAGTCGTGCAACAGGTCCTTCGATTTTAGGCTATGGAGTTGTTGCAATGTTGATGAATGATTGAGTTGCTGGTTCTCTTTCCTTGTTTAAGCTATAGATTTCCTTTCTTCTTTCCTCCTCTCAATTCGTTTGCACAAGATCTAACTCATTTTGCTCTATCTCTGTTCAGTTTAACTAAGTTAAGGTAAGGAGTTTCAAACCCTTTCATTTGGCTCTGCTTTGCATGTGAGTGTGTTCTACTATTGCTGTGTGTAATGTCCACCTTGACATTATCAGGACAACACTCACACATTGTTGTGATAACTAGGATTTAATAAAATCCTCTGAAGAAGTTACCACAACTTAAGATTTAAAAATAATTAGTTAAAACATTGGGATCTAAAAAAATCCTTTTTAAAATATAATTTGAGTTCAACCCATGGTTAAAAATCGATTAAAATTAAATATGGAAGCATGGAAAACAAACTATATGGCTTAAACCCCATTTTTTAGCAAACACTGGTCCGTCTACCTCGGCGCAAGCCGCGGCCACTACGGTGGATGGCACAGAGGGATGAATCTCTCAAGGGCCTCTTGTGCCGCGGTGCACACCTACTGTCATGACAGTAGATTGCTGTCATGACTTTACTTTTCTTTAAACTTTCGGAGCACGCCGTTTCACCATCCGACATCCAATTTGAACGGTTCAAGTGTCCACATAAAGCTCTTTGAGCCCTCTAGCTAATAGCACTGGTTTCATACCTAAACAATCATCTATTTAAAAGATAGACACCCAAATCTAAAATAGTTTATTTTCACAACAAAACACATAGTATGGTGTCCAACTCACAATACACAATGCCATTAGCCTCAGAAGCACTTTGACCACCTTAAATGAATCAC